AAAAATACTGTTGACTCGCTAGCAATAATTCAGATATTAAGCCCCTTTTTTAATCACCACCACACGCAAACATACAGAAACCGGAGGAGCCACTGGCACGGATCCGGGGGGGGTCTATTTGGGCCTTGTGCAGAAAATATTAAAGCTGGACGGCGGAATTCTCCAAGGCCTCCAAAGAGGCGCAACCTGATCCAGTTTGGCTCGCCTGAACCGGAGGATGTAACCTGCTGATTTCATGCCAAATCTGAGACTGATTGCGGATTGCTTCCTGTTTGCTCGTGCCAGATTTTTCTTTTGGTGTGTGCAGACTTTTTGGTGCGCGGCAGGGCAGGCATGACGTCTTGTTTTCCCAGCCACACACACACACACACACACACAGGGGCCCTCCATGTGTCCCACACAGTCCAGTCCACAGCCAATCCCCATTTAGGGCTGTCATTTAAAGTTGGAGGGGGGAGAATACCCACCCTGCGCAGTGTTAGTATTGTGAAATAACCACATATTTGACTCGCCGAGCTCATCGTATAATTACATTTGCTTTCATATTTCTGTCCCCTTCCAGCTGTGGAGCTCGTCCGGGCTGATGTGGAGGACGCCTTTGCCCTCGGGTTGCCCCTGAACTCTGGCAGATGTTCCTCATGTCAGCAGAACGTTCTGAAAATACTGGAACGTTCCACCTCCTTCAATCCACCGAGAATCCATCTGATCATCTGGGGCATCGCTTTGTTCAACTGTTCTCCTCATAAAACGAGCCCCCCTCTTCTTCTTCATGTCCCGGTTTGCCCCCCCCCCCAGCCTTCAGGTGCGACTAATTCGTGGAAACAAAGAGGAGATGGTGAGAAAACATCCCGATTAACTGGTTGTTGTAAGATGAACTCATATTATCTGGAATCTCATCGACACTCCGTCAATCCCAGAGTGAAGTGAAACTGGACTGATTTATTAGGAATCTTGATGAGGAACGTCATTTTGAAATGAAAATCAGATCAATAAATGGGGAGCAGAATAAAAAAAAAGCCAAAAAAAAAAAAAAAAAAATATGTGCTCATAAGAACAGAAAAAACATGGCATTCACAAAATACCCTTTAAAGGCTAAAGGCAGCTTCTGCAATGCGAATAATCAGGACATTTCTGAGAATTTGTTTTGTTTTCATCAGTGGGTTCAATTCGAAATGCAAAAGAAAAAGAAATGCATGTGGATGAAATCAGATGCACGTGTTTATTAGAACATAGACACACACACATTTGCATTTGTTGATGTACAGGATGGGTCAAAAGGCACCATTTCATTTTACAAACAAAAAGGAAAATGACAATTCTGAATACCACAGCAGGTAAAGGATGAAGGGGAAGGGCTTTTAGGAACATGGCCTCCATCTTGAAAGCCGCCATATTGGATCAAGGGCAACTTTTTTTCCCGATGGGAAGGTGGTCGTGTAGCATATCAGAGCAGAGAGGATGTCCTCTCGAATCGCCTTCCATGATCAGATGAGCTGTGTCTGTTGTGGTTTTGCTCCTATTGGTCAATTCGTCCACATCTTGCGTGCGCCTCCGCTGTTTGTGCTCGACTGGCGTCTGTGCGTGGACGAGGGCGAGCCGGTCGGTGCTTTAAAGTTGAAAGGCTGGAGCTGGTGACTGGCTGCTCTGTGCCCACACCCCACACACACACACACACACACACACAGGTCGGGAGACAGAGGGGAGGTCTGTGGAGGAACACACAGGCCGGCGGACAGTTCAACGGGTCCTCGAGGTCCCCCAGGAGAATAGAGCGTCCACTCAGCCTCCCCACCCTCAATGGCCCTGTTGAAAAGGAGAGCTATAAACTGGCGGATGAGCAGAGAGGTGGGGGTCGGGGGGGGGGGGTTTGAGACTCTGCCTCCCCTCTTTCTCTCTCACTCTCTCACATGCTATCTCTTTCTTTCCTTTACCAAGTAGTGGTTTCCATCTCACCGAACCTCTTTTCCCCCAGAATGTTTAAAAAGATGAAAGGATAAGGAAAAGAATGGAGACAAAGGAGAGCGGGGTTGTGTTTCCAACCTGCCCCTGAGAGACTGCTCATGAAAGAGTTCGGGGATGGGAGAGATAGGGACCGGAGAGGAGACACAGAAAGAGACGCGGAGTCATGAAAAGGGGGTTTTCAAGCCGCTAAAACGGGTCACTTCTGTATTGAGAGACGGACCAGAGTGCGGCCTTCGCTTTGGGACGGAGACACTGTCCGGAGCCTCGGATGGACGGAGGCGTTGACGTGCCCACACACACACACGCACACACACACACACACACACACACACTCCCCGGTGTCTCCCCCCTGTGAGTTTCTCCCCTCCTGGCATTCACAGGCAGCCACTCGAAGTATTTGCAAGCCTTTAACCATTCTCTCTATCTGCCTCTCTGTCTGAACTTGCCCCGTGCGCACTTAGATATTTCCGCCTCGGGGCGCATCAGTGAAAGTCGGGAGTTAAAGACCGAGAGCTGTTGGCTCCTCGTGGACATGAACGACGGCCAATCACAGATGCTGATTAGAAGGGCAGGGATGTGTTTTCTTAGGCCGCTAAGCCCCGGCTCTCCGTGTGAGCATTATTTAGACGTGCAAAAGAAAACCTCAGCCATTTCACAACCGACCAGACCAAGGGTTTCATCCGAGACACTCATTCACAGAACGAGTTTTTCTTCATGCTGTTACCGGAACGCGTCTCTTTTTAAAGATTTCCTAAATCCTCCAGCAATCAAAAGTCACAATACGAGGCAGATGATTAACAGAACGCAGCGCCTCTCTGTTTTCCATGACCTCAACACGGTGTGAGAGCAACTAAAAGCCCATCAGAACTCACACCTAGAATGTGGAATCCCAGATTTTAAGTCCAAAATACTGAAATGACTTAAAAGAAAGCTGTTTTTAAAACGTAATTTAAACAAAAACACCACTTAGAATTATCACAAAAAACTCAAA